TATGTTTGTTGTATTGCCGAATGTATTGAATGGTTTGTATGTTTGTTGTATTACCGAATGCATTGAATGGTTTGTATGTTTGTTGTATTACCGAATGTATTGAATGGTTTGTATGTTTGTTGTATTACCGAATGCATTGAATGGTTTGTATGTTTGTTGTATTGCCGAATGTATTGAATGGTTTGTATGTTTGTTGTATTACCGAATGCATTGAATGGTTTGTATGTTTGTTGTATTACCGAATGCATTGAATGGTTTGTATGTTTGTTGTATTACCGAATGCATTGAATGGTTTGTATGTTTGTTGTATTACCGAATGTATTGAATGGTTTGTATGTTTGTTGTATTACCGAATGCATTGAATGGTTTGTATGTTTGTTGTATTACCGAATACATTGAATGGTTTGTATATTTGTTGTATTACCGAATGCATTGAATGGTTTGTATATTTGTAGTATTACCGAATGCATTGAATGGTTTGTATGTTTATGTATATTGAATGGTTTGTATGTTTGTTGTATTACCGAATGCATTGAATGGTTTGTATATTTGTTTTATTACTGAATGCATTGAATGGTTTGTATGTTTATATGTATTGAATGGTTTGGTTGTCTGTTGTGTTACCGAATGTATTGAATGGCTTGTATGTGTGTTGTATTACCGAATGTATTGAATGGTTTGTATGTTTGTTGTATTACCGAATGCATTGAATGGTTTGTATATTTGTTGTATTACCGAATGCATTGAATGGTTTGTATGTTTATATGTATTGAATGGTTTGTATGTATGTTGTATTACCGAATGCATTGAATGGTTTGTATGTTTATATGTATTGAATGGTTTGTATGTTTGTTGTATTACCGAATGCATTGAATGGTTTTTATATTTGTTGTATTACCGAATGCATTGAATGGTTTGTATGTTTATATGTATTCAATGGTTTGTATGTATGTTGTATTACCGAATGCATTGAATGGTTTGTATATTTTTTGTATTACCGAATGCATTGAATGGTTTGTATGTTTATATGTATTCAATGGTTTGTATGTTTGTTGTATTACCGAATGCATTGTATGGTTTGTATGTTTATATGCAGTGAATGGTTTGAATGTCTGTTGTATTACCGAATGTATTGAATGGTTTGTATGTTTGTTGTATTACCGAATGTATTGAATGGTTTGTATATTTGTTGTATTACCGAATGTATTGAATGGTTTGTATATTTGTTGTATTACCGAATGTATTG